GTGAATTAAACGCATAGATGTTGGCTTGAAATCATTCTGGGTTTTCTCAATCCTTGCTCTTTTACTGTGTGTGCAGGTCTGTCCCTATACCTGGCTTTCTAGGAACTGCTTGGAATCACTTCCGGCCACAGGTGTCTGGGAGGTGACGGGTGACAGATTCATCCCTGTGTGCCCCTCTAGGGCAGCTAGAGCTACCCCATGGGGTTTCCAAGGCTGTGCGTCTTGACGGGAGCAGCCGTCTCAGCTTTCTCCTGAAGAGCAGCTGTTGTATCTGAACCGTGGACCCATCGGTGAGCAGCCGGTGCTTAACCACGGTGCCCCCGATTTCTGACGCAGGCACCTTGTTGTGTTGTTTGGTACCGACTCCCAGCCACCCTGGGTACTGCCCGAGCCCACGGCCGTACCCACCGTGCCAGTTCATCCGCTGAGGGCCTTTCTCTTTCTCTGACCCCGGGCTGGATGTCCTTTTCCAGGCACGGACTGGCCTTGCTGACAACAGGCCCACGTGTATGAGGCGAAGGCTTCCTCCCTCAGTCAGAGGAGCGCTCTGGCTGTCATGCTCCAAGACAGCCGTGCTTGTTCGTCGGGCAGGTCCGATCCTGCCCCTCCCTCCCCAGCGCCACAGCTCAGAGGGAGGCACCGCTCTTCTGGCCTTGAGTATTTTCAGGAAGAGCCCATTCTTAGTTTCCGGTTTCCAACACCTGGAATGCAAAGGATTCGCTCAGGTGCAGCCCCCAGACCATGTCTGCAATGGAACTCAGCCTCGCATTAAAATCTTCAAACATTTAAGATCAAAAGGGCGGCATTGACCCCCAATTGGAGTCCAGACAAAGCGAGAGAGAACGGTAGCAGGAGACACGGGGCACAGGAGGGGCACGGGCTGGTCCACTGAGGGGATTACAGAGGACACGAGTCGCAACCGCGGCCTGTGGGTCATATGGAAACTCGTGGTCCGTTCTGCAAACCTTCATCGGACTCACAATAAAAAGGTGCTTTTTTGTTTGGTTTTAAAGCGAGATTCCTGTTTTAAAGAACCAAATTCAGCGAAGTTTGTCAAGTACGAAGCAAAATTTTAAAATACACAACTAACAGAGTAGTGATCATTAAAAAAATAAACAGTCTTCATCGCCAACCTCACAGGCTGCGTTCTGTCCCTCTGGTTTAAATTCTAAACACAAACAGAAACTCCAAGCAGTCACTTCGAATAACTGGGCGGAAGGGCGGTGCCCTGGTTCCTTTGGCTTCACTGGCTGTGTTGGCCTTGTTGGGTCTCAGGTCCATTAGGAACGTGACCCTCACATCTCCATGTGTGGCTGCACAACCAGAAGGTCTCTGAATTAACCCCCGTGTGGAACTGCTATCCCCAGGACTCAGGGTGACCACATGTGCAAGTGCAACGGGAAGGTCCTCAGCCACTTTGATGATCGATGTGCTTCAGCTCCTTGCTGTGGCTACCGTGTCAATCCACATCCCCGAACTTCCCCCCATTTTCATTGACTTTCTGCCAGACATGATGTCCATTTCTAGCGACTAGTCTTTCCTGATGCCGTGTCCCCATCAGACAGTGTCCTGTTGTTCTCCATGAGGTTTGCATGGGTTGGTTTTCAGAAGCAGAGCTGTTGAAATCCGTGCAGTGTCCGAGTAACAGGCAAGCCTCTGCAGACAGGAGGTGCCTGCATTTGAAGTACACTGGCCAGGAATCTAATGGACGTCCCTGGCATGGAAGGCCGAGTTCCACCACTGGCCCAGCACTGCCTCCGTAAGAGTAACTTACAAGCACAAATGGTGTAGACACCACCACAGTCAATATATAGAACAGGATCACCAGTACTACCAGTCTCCCAAATTGTCTCGTTCCCCTCTGAGGCCAGCCCTCTCCCAGACTCAGGCCCTGGCAGTCACTCCTCTGTCTTCTGGTTCTTGTCTTTTCCAGAGAGTATCAAATTGAATGATCATGGAAGTAGCCTTGAAAACAAAAAACAGCTTTCTTCACCACATTTGCTTATGCACACATTTGTCTTCAGCGATCGTGTCAGGAAGGTGTGCATCCTGGAATGCCAATTTAATAGAACAAAGGGTTCTTCCATTGAGGAAGTACTTGAGTGGAGGTCCAATGTCCATCTGCTGCCTTAGTACTAAACCTAAAAATATATGTACATAGATCTATTTCCCCATCATCCTATATAAATATATTTACAAATGTACATGCCTGTATTTAGACCTCTATAAATGCTCTTTGCCTCCTAGTTCTTTCCTCTATTTCCTATGGCTTGCCTCTTGTCCCACTATCGTGCTCAGCCTTCATTTGAGTTTCAGTAATTTCTCTTGATTACATTGCCCGTGATGAATCCCTACCAGGCTTCTCACACCCTCCTTGCCACTAATTTTGGATCACTTGTTGTTCCTTTGTCCCTGGGTTGGTCAACACCACCTCCTTTCCCCCACTTCCCCATCTCCCATATCCCCCCAGAACCATTGGTCCCATTGTTTTCACCTCCAGACTGTTCATCCAGCCTAGCTTATCTTGATATACCTGCAGAGATAATAATAATATGCACACACAAAACAAGACATATTATGACAAAGCCACAAAAGAACAAAACGATGACAACAAAAAAAACCAATGACCAAAAATAAATAATAATAAAAAGAAAAATATATAAATAGTTCAAGCTGATGGTGCCGACTATCAAAAGATATAGCAT